ATTGGACGCCATTATGTTATTTCTGTAGGTTTTGGATAGTAATCTCGTAACTGGCTGAGATTTCGCCATGTTGATGAATCATGTCTTCTGTCGGGCTTAAGAACAGTCATCTCAACGTTTGCTTCACTTAAGGTGTTTGGATGATGATCTCAATGAAAATTTGCTCAGGTCAGTATTGAGTCTCTTTGCTCCAGAAAGCATTTGTAAAGACTAAAACAGGTGAGTTCGGCTCCTTACCTGAGAAACAGAATGGAAAACATAAACAGTATATAGTACTAAAAGATTCCTTGTAGGTCGACGGCGTTGTGGAAGCAATAGCTTTCCTGATGCGATAGATGCGAATGGCAGAATACTGTACTCTATCGATCTTGCTGAGAACCGAGCTGGTAGTGCTGCTATATAATTGTGCTGTGTCTTGATCAATGACTGGATGGCGGGGGTTTTAAACTACTGTATGTCATGCTATTAATAAGCTTAAGTCAGTTGTTGGGTTACATTTGGACGCTTTCCCCATCTTTTATGTTGCTATGGTCTGGCGATAAACCAGTTTATATAGTAATAAATCCGTATGTTATTGAAGGAGATGTCGTCGGTTTGTGTAGAACGTGCCAGAGGGGCGTTGTAGGCTGGGGGTATGGGGCATCTGCAACACACCCTCCTCTGGTAGCAGAAGAAAGCCTGTGGGTTGGCTGTAAAATAATGATACTAATAGTCAACACTGTTCTTAGGATAAAAAACCAACTGAAGAGCAACACCGTGCCTGTTGTCTTGAAACGATAGACGGATTCACAGCAGCAACAGCATTATTATGTGTCTGTTATCATGTTATATTTGATATTCACGTAATCATAATTTATCATAACCAAGGTTATGATAACAAGTACACGTGTTAGTGTGAGTTGGGAGGGGGGGAGGGGTCAGAGCTTAAAGTGCGTTGACTAACGCTAATAATTGAGAGCATGACTAAAAAGTCTATCTTGTCTTTTCTCCTCATTTGGCCTGCTTGCTCATCTCCATTACACGGGTAGTTAGCTCTCTAATATCATGTACGAACACATAACCTGGGAGACATTCATCAAATATTGGCGGAAGTTAGACTCATTAGAGGTAAGACAATGTAATATTATAAGCCCTCAAGCTGCTGACAGACTCTAGAAGATTTGTAAAAGTGATCGATTTTTAATCACAGCCACAGGTTGTAACCAAATTGACGAGTGAGAAATGACCTTACGCTGCGTTCTGTTTTTTTATTTTTTTCGCCACGCGATACTTGTTTTAGAAGCAGTATTTGCTGTCGGGATGTCGCCGCGCATCGTAACGGATTAGTCCTAAGAGACGTATAGGGTTTTCGATATCGAAGCAATGATCATCCATGACTCCTGATCACGACATTTTATCCTCATTCATAATTCAAGGATATCATATCTACTCTCACAAAACAGAACAGTCAAACACGGAGCGCTTTGTTTGCTACACTTTCAGACAGCACCCCGGTTTTCGATTCATTTTAAGCCCCTAATCAATAATAAACAAAACAACGCATTTCAATAGCATCACTTATAACTCATCCCGTTTGAAATGTCTCCATTTAAATGTTTAGATGGTGCATTTCTGATGGCGAGGATCGATAGCTCGGCAGCTGTGCATATTACAGCTATTGGCCAGCTTAGGCTCAGATAAAGTACACAACATATTTATCGATATACTTTTCAATGGGCATGTGGACATTTCTCTCAAGCAAGATGGAGGTTATAGACTTCTCAATACGATGTCTTCTACCCTCCGTTATTACGATACCTCCTATCGCCTGCTGCCACAGATAATTCTTGAAGAGATTTTGTTAATCTTATTTAAAGTTGCCTGTTTATGTTACAATGCCTCATCGCCTTAAAGAAACTCGTCGAAGCAATCCGCCTCACGCCAAGTCGGGGGAAAGGTAGAGTATCGCCTTTATTTTAACAAGTCATAACAAACAATTGTGCAAATAGTCGTCTTTGTTGGTGTATTTTACAAAAGCCATATGCCATTCGTTGCCATAGGGATTACGGAGAACCTCAAGTATCCCATGGGTTTCATTAAAACTTTCAAATGTGGGGGTTAATCAGCCAATTCTTATGATTACTTGCCAAAAGCCACAGTGTTATGAATCAACGGTAGATTACAGCAGCCTGCATTTGGCAGTGAGATGGGCCTTGGCGTAAATTATATTCAACTTTGAGTCGATATAGACAATTTGATGCTTTAGTTATAAAGATATGTTATAAAATTAATAAAGAATATTTTATCAACACGTGCATCTATTACATTGTTGTGATTTTTCTCCAATCCATCATGGCGGCCCTGTCTTAATGGATCCCCATGGCTGGACACCATCAGGGGTCTCCTCTGCTCCCACACTCTTTTTTATAACAATAGGAAGCAGTGAGATAATCCAGTTTGTATCGAAATTAACACACCCCGTTTCGCACCATTCTCTGTGCCGGTCGAAGGTTTAAAAAGTGAAGCACAGTGGGTTTCTTAGCGGTACTCTAAGCAGAAACACACCAGTGGACACATGGGCTCAGGATGAAAATGCCTTGATCCTCGAAACTAAGAATGTTTAAAACAACAACACCTAATAAAACCCAAGCAGAGACATGTTTTTCTTTTAAGCTGCCTTTCGAAATGTATTATTTTCTCATTTAAACTGATTTAAACTGGACTGCCGTTGCTGTACCCATGCGTCTGGTACGTGTCGCGGTCTCGTAAGTATTGGTCAGGTATTGTGGAGACAAAATGTTTTTGGGATTTCCGACCGGTGCTGCTCTTGCGACACAAGCTCACAAAACTGTCAATGGGAAGCATTCCTCCAGGTAAAACTGATAGATAGCTACGACTGCCAAGACTGGTCATAGTATGAAACAAGTAGTATTTTTCTCTTTAACATAAGGCTTGGTGTTCGTGGTGTTTCTTGGTCAGATTGGATGGGCGTAAGGTCCGAAAAACGGACTTTGGGTGCGTTTTTGATGTGACACAATAGCATGCTGACAGAGGCGGATTTAGACCGTCTTCTGGGTCTTTCAAAAGACGGTCGGGTTTTAAGTTACATTGACGGGTATCTAATTTTATCTGTCGGAGGACGGTCAAAAATGTAGGATATATCAACAAAGATAATTTGGAAGACTGTCAGAATATATATCTGGATCCGCCCATGCTTGAAGTGATTTTTAAGAGGAGGCTTACATGTTTGTTTTATGAAATTAACACTATTAATAGCCAGAATAACAGAATACAGCCTGTGTATAATGCTGGTATTTGTTTTTCATTTATACTTCGCAGCTAAAGATTGTATCCCAAAATATGATTTATCGTTGCTAATGCTATCAGGATTAAACTTTTATATATCGTTTATTCAGGTAAAACTCGGGTATGAATTGTACGTCGCATCTTCGCTGTGTTTGACTGGCCGTTTGCAGCATTTTAATTTTTAGGGAGCGAATAATGACGACAAATACTGTTTTGTGAGAAATTGATAGCATGTTGATATAACCTTGACGGAATTTTAAAAAGAGGACCGCGGAAGAATCATTGCGCTTGTACGCGTATTTTTCTTTCACTTGTTTTTTTATTGTTGTGCATTCCTCCTAACAGCTTACATAATTTTCCAGTATTTGCTTTTCTGTTACTTTATTGGCATTTTCTCTGCTACGAAACGAACTATTAAGTCGTTCAACATCAAATGCTTCGGAAAAAAAGAGTTTAATTTCCGTTTCGAAAGTGACTGCCACGTTTGTTGTCTACGTTCGAAGGCCCACTTCCGCGTCTGTGAGAAATTAATGAAGCGGGTTTTGTAACTTTATGTATCATAACATCACTGCCATCTTGATGTCGATAAATCCTGGGCATTTTTGGGTGAAGGACTATTGACCTCTTCCTATAATCTATGTTTTGAAAGAACCATATCAACATTACAAGTAGCAGGTATTTTGTGAAAGTATTGTAAACCGCCATCATTATTTATTTATTTATTTATTATTATTATTATTATTATTATTATTATTATTATTATTATTTAATGTAAATGTGTACTCTTTATGATAATGTTCCATATATTGAATGAAAAAAACCTGCCCTTGCTATTTTAATTTTCCATGTATTTAATGAAAACTTTCATCTTATAATGACCATTTTTATGTATTGAAAAAAATTAATCCTTTTTATCTAGGACCATTTTTCATGAAAAATTTTGCTCTTACTTAATAATTTTTAAAAATGTATTTAAATAAAATCCCATGTATGCCTGTTGGTTTAGACTCATGTAGTACCAAGCAAAGGGTAATTTTTGCAGCTGTGGGATAAAAACTATCATTTGTTTATGAGGTCCATTCGGTATACAATTGATTCGCGTCACCCGTTGTTGTTTCAATTTTACGACTGTCTTACCCCTTTGTTAGTCAACCAGAAACATTCGACAAAGATCGCCCAACAATCGTAGGCTAAACGATCTTATAAAAATTGAGAAAATCGATGAAAAACAAGTCTCCGAATGAATGTTTTCTGACTTTTGCCCGCGCACCTGCGTCTTGTATCCCGTTTCAGTTACCTCTAGGGTCAGTAACAAAAGAACCACTCAGCGCACAACTCACCGAATGGAGCTGGTTTATTTGACGTTGTTTAACACTGATGCAATTTTACGTGGGCTTCGTACATGTGAACGCGGTAATCGGGAATAAAATCAGGCTAATAAGTTTCAGATACATGCTTAAATAAACTTGCTTGAAATTCAGAAACAAACAACAACTCCTCTGATAATCTGGGAATTATCGATGAAGTGCGGGCCTCTGCTTTGCCTAAGAACATTATTTGCATGATTTCATAACGTTTTAAACGTGAGAGTTTGTCCGAAGTGTATTGAATAAATCATTATAGGTGTGTATATACTTGGAAATTTAACACAAAAGACATCAAGGCATGTAGGCATGTATGATTAAAATTATCACTCATTCCATGAAATTACTTGTTTCTTTTCCAAAAGAATACGCATCAATTGAAAAAGTTTGGGATCAATTGTTTTTTTCTGTTGCCCACGCGGTTGACATGTTTATTATAGAGTAGTACTTGGAATTCCTCTCATAGAAAATCGAACAACAATCGTTTTAACCAAACATTCACATTTGCATACCAATTAATCGTGGGTGGTTTTGAAACTGAATTGTTTATAGGTTGATTCATTGAGTATATAAGCCAGCTTGCAACTTTAAAAACTTTGCAGATAGTACGTTCCCCAGCCACCCGCAAATAATTATTGATAAAACTTTGAAAGTGTCAGCTACTCAAGGTTAACTGATATAAATGAGCACTAATTTTTTCGACAGAGGACACCGAAATTAGCTTAATCTAATCGTTAGAAGAACAGAGAAATGAGATACCTATTTTAGCAGCTGGTGCTTGAGGAGCGCGTCTCCCCACGGCATCATTTATTCAAACAAAGTTAGTATAGGTACGCAATATCAAAGAGAGCGGCATACGTTTACTTTACATATGATCGTTATCTCTGTACATCATCCATCAAATGTGCCTCTCCCATGGGCCAGCTCTCACTAGTTGTGTACGTGTCCAAAGATATAACCATAGCACAGAGCAAGAATAACCGGAAAAATAAAATTTGTATCAGTTTCTTTTTATGTCCTTCGTGTTCCGAAGCATGACACGAAGACATTCGGCTTTATGGATTTAGGTTTCTTCTCTCTTTCTCTCTCTGTAAGTTGTTTATTAGTTGATACGAAATGGTGAATTGTAATTATTCATATCACAACATCGTGAAAATCAATATGTGTTGGAAAATCCACCATCACGCCAGGTGATGCTACAGATCTTCGACCGTTTTGTGCAAGAATTGCTCGCAGCGCTTCAACCAAGATTGGCACCGCGTTATCGTCTGCCTACTTCATTCTTTCCATTTGAAAAATTCTGGGATCTTACAGTCTTCTGCTATTGATTCCGCCATATATATTTCTATTAAGATGCTGTATACCTTGTTCCTTGATGAACAATTGTAGTTGCTGTCTAATCGATAGCTATTGTTTTGTATGGCACATGCCAAAAGAACACAAGTATCGAAAAATTTATAATAGAAACTATCGATTCTGTCCTTCCGTATAACAGTTATGTTTTCTGTTAAAGATTTACTGACTCATTTAATATTTTTCTTACATTTCTGTCAAATGAAATGGGTGTAAAGAATCTCGGTCTTTCATCTTTGATTACTACGACCGCGGGTTGGAAGATTAGGGGATTATCCGGTGCACTTATAAATAGATTTTATAACTGTAAAACTTTTTCATGATTCATAAAATTGCCATGACTAATTTTCATATAAACACATCCACGCATAACGCCTTAGTTAGACACTCCAATCGCCTACTCGCCATCGCCCGATGAATAAATGATAAACAAATATTAATTGCTAAGGAGATTTCCAATAGAAATGGTATCTAAAATTTGTATGACAGCTCAGAATACTGGTGACAACGTAGTCGTTTAAACTCGGTCCGTGTCTTTTGTTGAAAGATTACCTATGCTCTGCCGTTATGTATATAAACCTGTTACGGTTATGCACATAACGGCACAATGCCATGGAATATGTAGAACGAAGCTGATTAAAATGCGTATTGAAATCGAAATTTCTATCCCGTTGCTCATAACGCCTGAATCAACGCTTATGTTTACATTAGTACACTTTATGCATAATGCATATTTGAAATCGTCCCTTCAACATAAAGCGTATTGTTTGAGGAAAGGGCAGGCTGTTAAGGATCTTTAAAATTTCAGCGCTGGGAAACAGATGCTATTATATCGGTATCCTATCTGGCGCACTTGTGAGTAAATCGATGATGAGCCCCGAGTTTGATCTTGCGTAAAGAAGGGACATCGATGGTATTAGAAAAGGCCTCGCATTCTGGAGCTTACTCTGCTGTGTTTTAACGCTGATATCGAAGCCTTTCAGAGCGCAAACAATGCTATTGAAAATCAAACACAATAAGAGCTATTATTGGTGTTTGCCAAGCCCAAAGCTTTTCACTGGGGATCCATTGGCAGTGTGAGAACAGCAGCGAACCGACGGTCCACAACTCTTGACGCTAGGAAACTCCCTGTTCAAGAAGAAGGAAATTTAGATCTTTTCGCGTTCCTTAACAAGCAAATGGATGGCTCGCAATCGCGGTCGTGCTGACGCTGCTGCTGGACATAACCGACCGAAAGTCCGGAATCTCGTTAATCTTCACAAAGAGCGACACAAACCACACGAAAATGCATCTGAGGCGCATGCTGCGGGAGTCGCTGGTCTAGCTCTCGGATTCGGGTAGGACACGGGTTTTAGTAGAGAGAGAAGAAATAGAAGAAAATAGTTAGTAGTTTCCCACTCGATCACTTGCTCATTAAAACACTTTGATACTAACCCAAATGAGTGGTAGTCGCCAAACTAACCGCACCATCGTTCGTTAAACAGAACAACCGTGTGATGACAGAGCCAGTGTATTGATCGGTGAACACTTATTGGTCAAAACAAGTGGAATTAATATTTTTACTAACACAGGCAGCCACACGTTAGGATCTCGCATGGCATTCCGGACTCATCTGCTGGCCGACGTTTAATAACATGGGTCGGAATCGCTGTCGGGCTGACGCGGTCGCCGGACATCATCGCTCTCGGATTCGCGGACAACACATGCACCCCCACAAGGAGCGTGTTAGAGAGTCGGACGAGGGCTGGGGAGTTCACGCTTTAGGTCTAGTCGCTGGCTTTGCAGGGTATGAGCCTTGATGGCATACGTGTTAGATAGTTTACGCTTATCTTCAGTTGTCGGTCTCTGAATCTTGTTTTTTTTTTCGCTTTTTTTTCTCCATTTTATTTTCAGCGTTTAACAAGTTTGTGTGATTATGGGCTTTTAGTTGTGTGCGTTACCATACCCCGTAGTTCTAGGTGTTGTGGGGCATGTGTGTGAGCAGCAGGTAGATTCGATTTTCCGTTTTCATACAGCATCTATTAGTTGCCTTGGTGATTGTCTTGTTTCAGATCCCGTGACGATATTCATCCTCGGCTTCGGTTATTTTTGTGGTTTGGTCTTGTCGTAAGATGCACGCTCGATGGTTCATTAAACAATGGGTTCCGTCAGGGGACCATTACGTGAGCGGGTCATCTAATGAGTAATAATTAATAAGACCTGTACAATTTATTTCGTTTCAGAATGTCTGGATTTCTGGACGTCCTAGGCAAAGTTGGCAAGGGACTTCGAAGTGATGATGATTTCTTCGACAGACTGAGCCATCGCTACACAGCCATTATTTTCATTGTTTTTGCCCTTGTGGTCAGCACAAAACAATATGTCGGCGACCCGATTACGTGCTGGACACCAACTCACTTTACTGATGCTCATGAAGATTATACCAATAACTATTGCTGGATAAAAAATACGTACTATACTGCATTTGATGAGCGGATCCCGGAGAAATGGGAACCGCATGAGCACATTGGGTACTACCAATGGGTGCCCATTGTGCTGATGGTACAGGCACTCATGTTTTACATACCCTGTATAGTATGGAGACTTTTGAATGGAAGGACGGGGGTGGATATGAACACCATCGTGAAATCATTAAGTGGAAATGAAAGTTTAAACCCAGATGCGCGAGAGGGGACGATCCGGTACCTTGTGCGCCATTTAGATAGATACTTTGATCACCAGAGGGACCTAAGCAAGGGCTGCTTTGCCAACTGCAAGCAGCTAATCTCAAAACATTGTATATGTCTTTTTTGTGGAAGGCGATATGGTAACTACCTTATAGCATTATACCTTATTATCAAAGTTATCTATTTGGCCAATGTAATTGGTCAGTTGTTCCTCCTCAATGCATTCCTTGGGACCAATTACCACATCTACGGCTTCGAAGTTATAGGTGACCTGATGAACAAAAGAAGTTGGAAAGAGTCGGGTCAGTTCCCGAGAGTTACCCTGTGTGACTTTGAAATCCGTTTCCTTGGAGGAGTCAGCAACATTCACCGCCACACCGTCCAGTGTGTGCTCCCCATTAACCTTTTTAATGAGAAAATCTACATTTTCATCTGGTTCTGGTTGGTCTTTGTATCCGCTGCCACCGTGTTCGGGTTCCTAACCTGGCTTAGCATGCTATTCCAACGGGAGAGGAGACATTACATCCGTAAATATCTCAAACTAATGGAGCGAATCGAGTCAAACTGTGATACCAAAATGACCCACGCCTTCATTGAAAAATACCTGCGTCAAGATGGGGTGTTTATATTAAAACTTTTAGGTAGGAATACAAACGATGTTGTAGTGGCTGAAATGATTGACGCTTTGTGGGAGTACTTTACAGAACAAAAGCGAAACATTCATCCTGGAAATGGAACAGAGATCGATGTTTGATACACATCTAAAATGTAAATAAGGGGCCCTGATCTTTTGACATGAAGACTTTCGCACAAGCGTATGATCTCAGCAAGAAAGCATTACCATTTTGCAAAGCCCTCGCTGCACTTGTGGAATGGCCAAAACATCAATGCACGTTACGTCGTTTTTATTCGTCTTCCAAGGCCTCTAGCAAAGTTCACCCTCTCCATAGGAATTTCGGTACTCAGTATTGATATGTCACATACGAAATCATGAGTGGCCAAATATTTTAATACAGCGGGCCGTTGAATGACGTTAAAATGGCGGCCATATTTAGACAAGGGTTTATTTGAGAACCAGAGCAAACATCAGGTTATTTGTCGCCGCCAGGAAAATCAATGCTGAAGGTGTATGATCATAGTGGTGTGAACAAGAAAGGTACCTTCACTCACACACTGGGGCTGTGGCCTAACAATAACTTGGTGCCATTGACGATCTAAAATGTCATGTTTTTGTGACATTGATGTATGAAAAATAAAGCCTATATGTAGATAGATATATCGAATAACATTATTCACACGTAAGCGTAAGTGTTATGCAACAATTTTAAATAATTTTTAAGCAGAGTAGATGGTGCGAATCACGTACTCATGTTCTTAATGTAAATTCCTTAGGTACATTTTTTGTTTGTTTGTTAACTTTTTTCTGTGATATAAATGATGCAATTTAGACATCTATGGAAGGAATTTAGACACAGAGAATTGGAATTTTGTTTTCACCTTGTATTTTAGTCTTTTGTTAACCAATTCACTTTTTTGTATTAACCCTATAAAATGTTGTTTTTGTCGTCACCTTTATTTATACATAGAGATATTTACTTTGTTCTCCTCGTGTACAATTGAGGTACAGGTGTGTTATCTAATTTATTTATGATTTTTACTCAAGTATGCATTAGTGAATTAAATATGTATCCATTGATTATCACGGTGTACTGGTACTTTGCAAGTAAAGTTACAGGTTAACGATTTTACTTCGACTCCACAATAATTACTCTGTATGCTGTTTCCCCTTTATCTTGAGTTTGTTTAATTACTGGCCTTTGTGTCTTAACTTCGTGTTCTTCAACCTCACAAGATTGTCCCCAGGCCAAATACAGAAATATTTACAATAAGTATAGAAACGCAAGTATGACTTTTGCCAGTTGTCTACTGATTGCATTAGTTTGTTTCGTGTTGGGAATCCCGAAGGACAGTAGGTACTGGAAGTTGAGCAAGTCAGGTGGAAAGGTGTGGGAACTAAATTAGGAATTGTTCAAATGCCCTGGCTGGCGCTATCGACAGAAGAAGAAGCAAGAATTTGTTCAGGAGATTGGAGAAGAGAGGGGGAAACTCAATGAAAATTTACAATGATTTGAAGAAAAGTAACAAAAGAAAATAAATTACGACAAGAATAGAATGGAAGACATTTAAACTCAGAAATATTTGAAAGAAAAGAAGAAATGTAATTAAACATACAGTGAGGCGAAGCGATAAAAGTAAAAACGAAAAGGATGAATTATATCAGAAATGAATTTGGAATACATTTGGGGGGGGGGGGGAATTAAAACCGTTATTATTAATTAAACCGCAAAATATCATTTCAATTTTGAGCACATTAATCTATGCCACTAGTCATCATCTGCTTGTGATCTCTGACGAGGATGGCCTGATGGGCAAATTAATGGTTTGTAAATGATCGCTCCCATCGATCAGTGATGAGAAGAGAGTCGGGTGTGTCCCTAATTGATACTAGTACAGTTATCTCATTAAGTGACGTCAAACTTGTAGTACGGGCTCTCGACTATGCCAAATTAAAGAAAACAGTGGTATCTTGTAACAGGAACCAGTAGCAATTGCTAATCAGATAAACACTCCGAGCGTAAGTTTCTCACTTAAGCAAAATTCCCTTGAATATTGAACAAAAAATGTAAGCTACTTAGGCATGTTATTCCCTTGACTGAAATATCTATTTATGTCTGAATACATGAGGGTAATGCGAAAATTGTTTTGACTCTTCGGGGACGATTAAAACTAACATGTGCTAAGCATTGTACTTTGCGTGCAAAAAGCAACTTTCTTTACAGGTATTTTTATTAGTAGTACGTTCAGGATACAGTGTGCACGGTAGTATAGTTACTTATACACTTGATTTTTTATGAAAGAATATTATGACATTCAAGTTCATGATGTTTGCGTGTACAAGTGTGATACCTGGTTAAAGTAGGCGGTAAGATAGTGTTAAAATTATTATTTCTCTTATATTCAAAACACAAAATTCACCTATATAATTATATATTATATACGTGTTGATAAAGTATCTAGTGTTAAGAACCTGTATTATTAATTAATTATTGTATTGTAGTTTGAATCTCATACAACAACTTTAAAAACTGTGCTATGTAAAAGTTCCAAACGCTGAGATTATATACATTATATATGTCTGGTGAAGCACAATCGTTCAGTACTGTTTGAAAACTACTGATTCACTTGAGTCATATCTGTGAATAATGTGAAGATTGAGATTGCTCAAAGAACACAATTTGCTGAACAAGACAACCTAGGAGAATAAAAAAGTTTAAATGAGTGTTACAGAGCTCTCCCTTTGAAAACTACTTTTGTCGATATTCCAATAAGAGCGCTGGATTGAAGACTAAATATATGGCTTTTCCGTGATCGAATCCCGGGTATTGTCTTCCACCTGCGCCATTGATTGTGGACGGGCGGGAGGAGCCGGGGATCGATGGTTTCAGGCTAGTTCATCAACATCGTTGAATAGGCTTGTTTATACAGAGAGGCTTCTTTCCTTGTCTTCCACCCTCTTTATTGATTCCCCCAGAACAGCCGGTGCGGAGCATCGATCAGCCCTTACTTTACAAGTGCTAATTAGACCTCTAAGTAGCTGGAGTGCTGAAAAATGGAAAACATATTCATGGGGAGAATGACACTCTTTCGCTCCTTGGTATTACATTTCTGCTAAATTGGCAATAAATCGCGGTAATAATGTGAATGTACAGTTAGAGAAACGATGAATAAATATTAGCAAATTGTAAGCGTCAGACAATTTGGTGATTGAGAGAGAAAGCTTATCTGTTAGAATTGTGATTCATTGTTTAATTTTAAGTGACTCACTAGTGGTAACAAAATTGTTCTCTTCTAAGTTTCGTTTTCAAAATTCCAAATTCTTCTTTGAATATCAAGTTTAAAATCTAATTGAATAAGTGCTTTTTGGTCTAGCATAAGACCCAGGATTCTCACTTAACAAAAATTGCGTAAATTGTCTTGCACAAAATCTAATTGCATTTTTCTGAAGCAGTTTCACTTCTTTTTTTTTTACGAAGTAATAAATATCAAAACTAATAAGGGTGTAATTTATGATTTTAATTGTGACAGACCCTCACCTACTACAATGTGGAGTTTAACTGCCTCATGGTTTACTGCGATTGTGCCGGCGAATTTCCCCATACGTAGGCCCTACTTATCAATACTGGGAACATTTCAGTTGCTTTTTGTTCCGCTCACCTGCAGATTAGCTACGGAATGAATCTAAGGTTTATCTTAATGCGGCCCCTTTAATACAATGTTGATAATTTAATTTGGAATCGGCCTACATCACTCGTGTTAAATTTTCATTGGTCTTGTGATAGGCCTACATCTTGTACCAGATTGGAAATAATAATGGTCATAAAACTGTTTAAATACATTTGTTTTACGATCTATATATACAAAAACACGACAATTCTAAAGATAAGATCCAATGATCCACAATTGCTTACAAAATTATTTTTGAGCAAAAAATGTACAAAAAGAAATCAAATCCTGCATTGTTACGAACAATAGATAAAATGTTGTCAATATTCTTGTAGTCTTAAATAATTTTTTTCTGTAGTCATGGAAATTGCAAAAGCGCCATTTAATATTCTTTGACATTACTAATTGTATTAATAAAGCATTACATCTTATATCCAAATAAAAATAAAAAGTGGGAAGTGGGATTACAACCAAAATGGACGTTTTATGAACATGTTTATTTGAGCGCCCTTCCCTCGTCGTATTTTCTTTTAGCGTTAAAATGTTTTATTGATCTTGAAAGAGTCTTGTTTCGTCAACAAAAATTATGATCTGCATGTCTCCTTGTTCGTTTTTGTACAAAAGACAAGAGCCAAATGTTAGCGCAAAAAGATCCCCACAATTGTAAATATCGAGACTGAGGAATCTGATCTTACAAGAAAACACTCTATTTGAGTGGAAATTGGAGAAAACTGATATCAGAATAATTATCAATAAAAATTCTGAGTAACCAGATTCACTTAAATGTCATCATTTCTTACGAGCGAACAACGCATGGTAGGCTCTATGAACGATTGCGTTAGTTGTGCTATGTCACAACAGTATCTCAACCAGCACAATGACATCCCAGTTTAGAACACATTCCAATCTGATTCTCATCCCTGCAGTGATTGCGACAATTTTGTTAAAATTCACAAACAGTTATCAAACATTTTGTGAAAACTGAATATTCATTCATTTCATTTGAATTGTAAAGGATTCCAATTCTGACATCAAGCTTTTCTTGTACGGTTACTTTTCAACGCGAGGCAAAACAGACCACCATGTTGCTTCGTGATACAGTGTGAAAGATGCAAGCATAAAAAAACCTCTTTTATTTTGGTAAATTAATGTTTTTTTACTGTTAGAGTGAGATATATAATAAGAGCCTATTTACCTTTCACAGAAAAAAATCAGCATTATTTCTTGATAGCATCTGATCTTCTCGATTCATGTGATGTCTGAAGGCAGTTTGCCTGCAGGTTCAGTCGTGTCAGCAGAAGACCAACTTCCAGTTAAGGTAGGTACAATTTACACATCACCTTTTGACAAAAATGCCCAGTTTTGACCGTAAAACATTTTAAATATAAATTAAAATGTTACAAATTCATTTTAGAACATTTAATTATTTTCATTTGACTTAAAAAGTAAATTAAAGGGATAGCAGCTGTGCATTTTGGAAAAAAATTATAATAATAAATGATTTTCCCGGTGTAAACAATATTCCCATACTTACGAGTGGTTAATGAATCCGTTCTGACATTTAAAATGAGTTCATGTTTTTTTTTAAGTTTGATTTTTTCGCAATAATCTCTTAAAGGGATAACAACTTTGTTTTGGAAAAAAAATACAGATTTTTCTGGGGTGAACAACAATTTTCCCATACTAACCAATGGTTAATATGATGACAACTCTTTGTATTTCATAATAAATACATTGTAAACAACTCGTAGAAATATAATAAATTCCATTTTATCACCAAAATGGCAGTTAATACAATTATTTTGGAATTTGCTTGCCACTGGACCATGGATACCCTCTGTAATAATTTCTTAAATGATTATAACAAAAACCAAACTTTTTAGAAAAATAAAAAAAGAACAGAGAATAACTTTGAATGTATAAAATTCAGTATAGAAAGAACTCCAGGGAGGGCTGTGTTTGTAGCTAGAGGCCCAGATGGAAGCTAACCAAATTTGATTTCATGATGAAATGTTAAGCTTGTGGCAAATAATTCTACGTTGGGATAGTTAATTCGTGGTTGGAGTCATTAATTTGTGCATTTGTGCTTCCAAATCTAAGGTTAGAAAACAGCAATTATCATTTATAAGGCCTGTATGAAGGTCCACATGGTCTAGTGACAAGCACAGATTCTAGATCAATTGTGATAACTGCTGTTTTGGTGTGAAATAGTGTTTATTATATTTCTGTGAGTTGTGTAAATTGTTTTTATTGTAAAATATGAATCTCATATGAAGAGTTGTTATCCTTTTAATTAAAAAAGGAATTTACTTTTTCATAAGTATTGAAATTGACCAGTGTATGCTGTTATATGATGACAGTAAATTTGCAGTCATGTAATTTCATGTTTTTCATGTTAAAATTTCAATATTTGTGAATGAAAAACTGAAAGAAAATATACTTTGTTGCTCAATATGGATATACAGATATTTTTTTTTACATTTTTACTATTTTGTGTTCCTTTTTGATTGCAGTTTGTATATATTCGTGATAAATGGATAAGACAGTGCAGATAAGCCTGATGCATATTTACAAAGATTTCTAGATGGTGTTATTCAATTTACATCCAACAATCCTGTTTTCCTGTTAAATTTCATTGTGTCAGAATATTAATGCAACACATTTTATTAACACATGTTCCACATTTTATTGATATATTTTCTGTTGCCCTTTGTGTGCAAATTTCATTGATATTACTGGAAATGTTTTATATGGCCATCAGATAGCCCATATAATATAGTGTTATGATATACGATATGGGCCCCCTTGCTGGTAATGACTCCATGATAAGTACTCTTAGTGATGCTCATCTTGCAGGTGTTCACACAAATGGACAGACACTAAGGCCCCATTCAGAATGGGGGTCTAAGTAGTCCGAGGGTCAAATAGGGCCGACCCACTTGAATACTTCCCCATGGATATCTATTCAGTGTCTATCAGCAGATTAGACAGCAAGCTTTGTAGTGGGTTGCCATATTTGAAGCTCTGACTACTTAGCCCCCTATTCTGAATGGGGCCTATGTTATATTTTGAAATAACATGCCCCTATTGCCTCATTCGTAAATACTACTATTTCTGCTGATTAATATTGCCAGTCAATCTTATTGTGTGTAAACCTTGGTCATTTATAACGATAATTTGTAAAGACAGTAATTTTATAAGTAAGAGTAAGGAAACTAGGTTTTATAATGATATCTAGAAGATTTTTTGTAATTTTTCTTTTTTGTAACTGTATTAGATAAAGCTGTAGAATGTACAACTTTTGAAATATTGATATGACATCTTCCCATAATTATTAAAAGAATAATTCTAATATTGGATCTTATGTTGAAATGAAGATCACGACATTTCCATCCAGTATTACAAATAATCTTTTCATTATCTTTAAATAATCTAACTCAATGAATCAAAACCTTCACTTTGACATCTACCCATGACTTGATAATCTCTCCGATATTTTATCTATAGTGTAGGATCAGATTTGACCGTCCTTTTAATTTATCGACCTCAGTCTGTGTTTGACTCTCACCCACAGGCTGTATATCTTATGTCATTTTTTTACTTCTAGAACTGTAGCATTTGATACTGCATGCACATTGGTAATAAATTACTGTTTACTTTTCTGTGGTATTTTAGATTATTGACATGATATGTATATACATGTCAGTACGTTGGCCATTTTCCCCCTAATCTCTCTCTAAGACTATCATCATTTGACTTATGATGTACTGTAAGCGAAAAAAGTAAAGTCATGGTAGTTGTTATATTTTTGTTTGCTTAACACAATAAGGGTTCATATTTTCTTCTTCTGTTTATGTACCGAAAAACTCATCTCTTTGACACAACTCAAGTATGTGATAAAAGAATGTAAGATTAAGTTTGTTTGTCAGACTCAATCTCTCAAGAGTAAAACATACTGTGTATGCCTATCCCAAATACTTGTCATCCAAAACAGGGTTAGGAATAAAAAGAATCATGCTTGAAACAGACAGTGTGTAATAGTAGACACAATTGTGT